TCATTAATTCTATACCATGTGTTTTCAGTTAAATAAACTGGAAATTATGAAGTATTGGTTTTTGACATAGCAATCTCAAAATAGTATGGTTGACGCAAAACATCAAGCCTTGGTACGGCCGAGGGTGGGGAGACTCAGCTCTCCCTTGAAATGCTCTCACATGGCGACGTGTATACAGACACTGACAGGAAAGACCTACTCACTGACTTCTTGTGGCGACGGTGTTGTTTATGAAATTGAAAGCACGAAAAACGAATGTCCGGCGCCTGAACCGGGTTGGTAGATATAGAGGATCCAAACCAATGGTGTACATGGGCTCAACGATCCTAAAGGAACAAATGGCATATAAACCAATCGTTGGTCACTGGCTACCATGGGACTGCATCTTCGAACGTTGCTCCACTGTCTTGCGGATCAAACCTTTAAGTCGAAGGTTCCGGATTGTGGCCTCCTTAAGAAAACCACCTGCTTCGGTTTGGACACTCGGGTAGTATCACAGCCCACACACAAATCAAGTGACTTTGTGGAGTATATATATATATATATATTCAGTTCCTCTTTGTACCAATATTTGTGTTCGAATAAATATATAAATCAGTTTCTAATGAGGTCACCCTCACGATTTTCAGTATTCCTTCTCTCAAACTAATGTCGATCCATGATGAAAACTGTATCATGGATAAACCTTTCTAGATAATCTATAAAATCGGCTTTATAATACTTAGTTACTATTTATAATTGGTTCACAGACTACTGAGTCACAACTTAGTCAATTCAACGTCCTGGGTTCAATCCTTTATGAGTTCATGAATGCACACTGCTGAAGAGTCCTGAACTAGAACTATGCATCCATCCAATGCCTCCTAGTCTTCACTGACTATGTGACGACTTATTATTATTCCGTGATATCTAAATAATAAATTCAATAATTTTCACAATTAAAATGTGACAGTGAATTTTCATTCCCTATAGAGATTGTATACATAAATTTAGATTGACTATTAAATAAATAGAAAAAAAGCAGGTTGGTAATTAAATAGGGTTAATTGTTTCACTATTCAATCCTTCTATTCTCTATTTCTATATCTCAGCCTGTTCCCATTTCAACAAATATTATATCTGTCATTTATCTTGTATACAAGTTATGAAAAGATTCGGATACCCCCCCCCTACTTTTCTTTTTCACGGCACATAAATTCAATATATATGTCTCCATCATTTTAAATTATCACCTATTTCTAATCTAAAACTTACCGAAAATAAACACGCAATGTATATTCTCTTGCTTATCATTTATTAAGTGTCAATCAAGTTTGTTTATTTTTGTAATTCAATCCAACTTTACTAAATAAAAAAAATATTAAATTTAATTATTGTATCAGACAGAAAAGATTAAATAATAATACTAATCATCATCATCTCTTCCTGTTACTCCTCGTGAAGGAGCATAAGCCACTCACCAGCACTCGCCATCCAACCTTTTGTCCTGATCAATCCTTTCCAGCTCTTTTCATTTGTTATTCATCCTTTTCATATCTGCTTCTATTTCCCGACATAATCTGTTCTTTGACCTTCTTCTTTTCCGTTTCCCTCCAAGATGCCAAGTTAGGGCCTGCATCGCGTTGTAGTTTGATGATATAGAAAAATGTAGCGTAAATTTTGTGCATTCATTTTTATCGTTTAATATTTACTTATTCATTCATTTATTGTATGTTCTAATTGCACATCAATACGCTCCTGTACTGTGTCCTTATATGCAATCTTTCTTTTATATATTGCTATCATTGAAGTGACTACTTCTATGAATCTGATGTTTATCTTGTCGTGCTAATGCGGTATGGCAACTTGAATCGATACATATATGCACCTGGTCCTTCGTTGTTGCTGACTGACTGACATTCACTATGTAGTATATGATATTGATGAATAGAACAGATAGTTTTCTTCTTTGTCATAATTGGCTTAAAGTGTGGTTTCTTTTTAGCACTAATAGTATTTGTCAATTGGATAAAAAGGTTAATAATTAGTTATTGTACCTAAGATTTAATAATTATTACCGTGATATTTGAAAATATTGGATTTGATTTCATATACAATGATCTTAAGTGCTGTTAGAAGTATGAGGCCGATTATCACCTCGCGGTTACCCATACTGCGGAAGGGTTCTTCCGGAGGTAACTGAAATGGAAATTGGATTAGAGGTGGTCTTAGTGACCTGAGAGCGTGACCTCTGTGCCCAAGAGACAAGTGCTTGAAACTGATCACACACGACCATCTTGTGAGTAGTTTTTGAGTTAGCTCTGTACTTGTTGAGACCGTACCACCGGATATGGATATCTGTAGGATAAGGCGAGGTGTGGATTTTTAGGGTCAACATTTTCTAACCCCACTCTTCCTTTGTGAGAAGGCAGTATCACTGTCATACTGGTTGTCTGAAGGAAACACTTTACTGTTGTCACACCTCTGTACAGTGTGCAGTACGACTTCGCCTTAGTCTTACCACTCTTCAACCAACGTGTCTGACTGGCATGGTAGGACCTTGAGGAACGATTGTTCCAGTCAGTATAACTCTATTGGTTCATCACGATATCCAAGCCCGATCGCCACGTCAAGGTAGCAGCAACGGTCTTCGATAAACTTGATGTAAATCATGATTTCGATCCTCGGTGGTGGTCAGAAGATGCCTATTTGTTAGATTTGCATAAAACAACTATCTAATATTTGAAATAGGAATTTGTGAAAATGGTATTAATTTTAACATTTGTATTGACGATTCAATCTAAGTTAGACCACCATTGGAAACCTGGAAGCACTAGAAAACCGTTTCATCCTAGTATGGGACTCCTCAACATTACACATTCACGATCTGACACACAGGGCTCGAAACCGGGACCTTCAGTCTCGTGCGTGAACACTTAATCACTATACCACTGAGCTTGAATCCAATGGTGTTAATGTCTAACTCCGATTGATCCATGAACTTGCCTAACCCTTCATCCATTATCTGAGGTTGGATAACTGTCTCCGTCCAGCATGGATTGCCTCCATTGGTCACGGATGTTCACTATGAACTCCAAGTAATCCATCTTGAAGTTAGTCATTATTGAACATATGGTTATTATCAGAATAGGGATTTGTCAAGATTGAATTCATGAATTAATCTAAGCTAGAACGAAATGATCGTCTATTGCATTCATGTTTTCAATAATGCTTTAACTTAGATCAACTCTAATCTTTCTTTCATTTTCAATACTTGTCTAGTTTCATTCAATAACAACTAAAAATTAATTTTAATGGATTTTCAGTATTGTTTATACACAAAAACGGATCGTTAAACATGAACTTAAATGAAATTTATAAAATTACTTGTGTTTCTGTTTTTACATTTTCTTGTCAAAATCAGGAAAACTGTACACCTTGGTTTTTTCTTTTTTTTCTTTTTTCCTTTTTCCTTTTTTCTTTTTTTTTTTCAAAAATAACCCACATACGCACACAGACACACACAGTGATAAATTTGTGTTACTAGTCAAGTTGAATACTTTATAGTTTACTACAATTGAATACTTTCTTCATTTATCGATTAAATTTTATATATAAATATTGTATTATTAGTCGAAGTGATTTATTTTTAGTCTACAAAATGTTCGTTCTTTCTTTTTTAAAAAGAAAGAGTACAAGTGCTTTCAGGTTTTCCATGGTGGCCTAACTTCAATTGACTTATGATCTGAACTATTGAAATTACTATAATATATCCACGAAACCACTTTGTGATACTAATCAACATATGCTTACTAGTGACTGGTTTCAAGAGGTATATGTCGGAGTTCTAGTGAACAACAATGACCAGTGGAGATCAACCGAATCAGTTGTGAGATAGTAACTCACTGATGAGAATGGTGAATGTGTCGCTCAATTTCGTGGATTAGTTGAAGTTAGACATTAACAGTGTCAGATCCCGGTTTACTGGTCTAGTGGCTAGGCGCTCGCGCGCGAGACTGATAGATTCTGGATTAGAATCTCTCGAGGTGGGATCGTGGATGCGCACTGCTGAGAAGTCCCACGGTGATCTAGCCTCAATTGATTCATGATTTCAACTATTGAAATTGCTATAATATCCACACAAAAAAACCCTTCTGATATTTACGAGTTGTTTTATTTTTCAAAAAGAATCACAGAAGTGACTCGCTGAAATGTAGATCAACTTCAATACTACCTTTATTGAATATCAGTCATCATTATCGTTCCATTATATGAAAGTCTAGATATATTGTTAATAAGTTCAGTCATTATAATTAATGCACAAATCCCTAAGTAGGAGAAAGTATAGATGTTACACTTAGTATCAACACACCTAAAATGACAAATGTAAGATTGAATGTGTCATTAAGAATTGTACAGTAATGAACTGATATTGCATTTTAGCATAGGACGTTTCCACCTCGGAGTACACCAAGAATCGAATATTTGACTTTGTAGGTCATAAGGCCTATGCCTAACTTCTTAAGATACTTAGTCAAAATCTAATAACCATTATTACTAAATTCAATCAACTCACCATACAACACAAGGATCATTCAATATCATTTGTATTGATTGTCTCTTTCGCAAGATTGTTGAACTCGTTCAAGTGCAAATTTCCACTGGAGTGTCAAGGACTCATTTCGTAACAATTTTTCACCTCATAAATTAAACGTAATTGAAAATATAAACTGTTGGAATAAAATATTAAATTATCTGATGGTTAAGTGATCATTGTACGAGATTAAAAGGTCATAAGTTTGAACTCCACTGACTAGATTGTAAGTGTGGACTCCTGTAAAATGGTATAAATAAATCGAAACAATTTTTCAAAGAACATGGATTTTTCAGTTGTCCATTCTCAAGTGTAATATCAGTGTGTGATAAAAGTGATCGACTATGGTTGTATTTTTTTCCAACTGTTCATTTTTACATCTTCCTCCACCCACTGATCTCTTTCCTCTTTTCTTTTTGTTTTGCAGGATAATAATCTAGTTCGACATTTAGATGCATGTGAAACAATGGGCAATGCAACAGCAATTTGTTCAGACAAAACTGGTACATTAACTACAAATCGTATGACAGCTGTTCAATGTTTTGTTGGTAATAAACATTATAAACGTATACCAACAGCTTCAGAATTACCAGAATCTATCACCAATCTCATAGTAATGAATATATCCATCAATAGTGGGTATACATCGAAACTTTTGGTAAGCGACTATGATGTTGTTGTCGTTAGTAGTAGTAGTAGTATTTTTTCTTTATCAATGTTAAATAAAGCTAAACAAGACAAGAAAACATTATTGGTAAGTCTGACACATAAATACTTAGCCATGGACTTAGTAACCACTTTCTAGACACCAGAAATCTGTACTTTCAAACCCTAAAAAGAAAAGATAAGATTTATAAAATGAGCTTTACTTTCTCAGCACAAAATATTTCAGCAAGTTTACTTTTCGTATTTCTTGATCGACCCTGACGATAATATAATGTGTGATAACCACTTAGATGTTAGCAGTTCAGAAATCAACATCTGAATAGTGTTCATTCTTTTCAATGCATATTGCCAGTCACCTCAATGTCTCGGATTGTACTTTTTTGTAATTCATACAATGAAAAGTCGTAAACTTTTCATAAACGCATCTGAATAGTTTATGCAATTAATAGAGATAAGAAAACAGGTAACTTGTTGAAATATCTAGATGACAGGAACGGGTAACCTGGATATTCAAGCAGGTCGCCGAAAGTTGTAGTATGGTAATTTGAACCGATCCGAATTTATATCAAGCCCCTAAGTTGATTATGACTGAGTGAGTGATGTTCTCACGACACGAAGTACGAACACAAAGGCTTATACAAATGAAGATTTAATCACCACCTAGAAAATACAACGATAACCCTAGTCAAGAATTCATTGATTTATATGTTGATTTGTATACCCATTTTGATTGTTAGTGAGTGACGAGTTACATGTATGAAAAATGTTTAGAGTTATAACGAACCACATGTTGGATATCATGTTGAATATAGTTCACGTTAACTTAATACAAAGAATATCACGTCTCAAATAAACATCACACTGAAGTAAATCAAGTTCCCAAATGCCCCTGGTATGGCCGAGGGTGAGGATAGTCATCTCCTCCTCTCGAAATGCTCTTACATGGCCACGCGTATACAGCCACTGACAGGGAAGTCCTTCTCGCAACTGGGGTGTTGTTTACGAAATTGAGAGGACGAAAAGCGAATATCCGGAGCTTTCACTAAGTTGGTGGATATGGAGGATCCACCTAGGAGTGTTGGGAAACCCTAATTTCAAACCAATGATGCACATGGGCTCCAGGATCCCGAAGGAACATATGGCATATGAATATGTTCTTGGTCACTGGCTACCATTTGACTGCATTTTCTGACTTTGCTTCACTTTCTTATGGAATAGATCTTTAGGTCGAAGGCTCAAGGAATGGACCCTTAATAAGATCACCTGTTTCTGTTTATGCAACTAGGTAGTATTCCAGCCCTCACACAAATCATTCAATTTGAAATAAGTAAATAAATATTGGGAGTAAATCAATGTTACAGTGAATAAATTACCCTGGATAACCATTATATTAAATTAAAAAGGGAAATAATATTGAATAAATAGTTACAATGAGTTATCTCGTCATATCAATGATGTACTCATTCACCTATGAAACAAAATAAACCATGAGGTTTAAATCTTTTTTTCATGAGTTTTGGTTAAAGTTTGAAGTTGGAATCAATAAACTTTGTACAATCACAGTGTCAAGTTCATCTATATCATAACTTTTTGTAATAATTATTCATAATTAAAATAATAGATTTGTACAGTTTATTTCAATTTGAAAGATCATTTACATCACTAAGTCAATTTTAGAGACTGATCCAATAACAATAGTATTGTTACTTATGGGCAGAGATGAATGGTGGCTAGTATGTTTCTTCTTATCCGGGACTTGCCAGTTATATATACTTGTATTCCAGAATTGATGTTCACTCCGGGACTCGAACCCAGTACCGTTCGTCTCAAATGTCATCGCGTTATCCACTTAGCTACTGAGTCCTGATAGCCACCTGCTTGTGCAATGTGGTTCGAGTCCCGGTGTGAACATGAACTCTGGGATGCAGGTACATCCAGCTGACGAGTCCCAAATAGGATGAAACGCGTATCAAACTGGATTCCACTGCTAGCCACTATCCATCTTTGCTTAAAACGCTTGTGACTATATCGAGGCAATCCACACGTGATGCACATATGTCAACATGAGACTGATCAATTGCAGTTCTAAGTATCAATGGGAAGATACAAGTAAAACAACACCAAATGAACTTAGTAGATGTAGTCGATAAAAAATAAAAATTAAAAAACAAATCTAAAACTGAAAATTTTCTGGTTACAAAATAGTTTCCCAGAAGTTTGAACAGTCCTTTGTAGTAATACTACATTTAATCTACTTAACAACAATCCCTAATCAACTCTTGATATCATGTCACAATCATATAATGTTATTATCAATATAAACTAGATCAACCATAAGAAGAGACTCTTAGATAATTTCTTCTGATACTGTTATAATTTGTAACCTATGTGCCCTGTTAGTTTAATAACGTAATGATACCGCCAATTAAAGAGCAGTGAATTATCTGTCGGATGAAGGACGCATAAAACCCGTACGAGCATTCTAGATTACTTATCGGTCCTGCTTCCTGCCTAGTCCAGCCACTTAAGTCCAGAACGCAAATCTCAGCCTCTGCGATATGAATCATTTATTTCAAGCATACTGAGATTATATACCAACCAGACAAACCACTTCGTACCAATAAAATAGGAAACAACATTTGTACAAGATCTAACCAAAAGAGGCTGTGAATGTAGGAGGTAGTAAGAATAGTATAATAACAGTTTATAGGTCAAAGTAAAGCTCATAATAAGAGGGACGTGAATATGAACAATTTAGTTATATAACAATTATACGATAAAAATATACTCGTAATATTGGTCCAGAAATGGATCCCAAAAATTACCATTTATTATGCTTATAGGGATATAACAGATACTCACTGCGAAGGTATCGTATTCTTTTTATGTCTGTTTTTCTCTTCTTTTTTTTTGTTTTTAGCCTCCCGATAATCCAAATGCTTTACCAAAACAAGTTGGAAATAAAACAGAATGTGCTTTATTAGGTTTTGTCAAATCTATTGGACGTAGCTATGAAGAAATACGTACACAATGGAGTGAAGAACGTTTATATAAAGTGTACACATTTAATTCAATACGTAAATCCATGAGTACAGTTATTAAAGAATCAGATAATCCACTGTCATTTTTATTGTTTACTAAAGGTGCTTCAGAAATGGTTGTTAAATGGTAAGTAGTAAATAGGTAATAATAATGTATATTTTAACTTGAACATATATTGCATAAGAGTTTATTATTTTTTTTGCCGACTATTGATACTCAGAACCACATTAGTTTGTTTTATGTGGGTTTATGGACTATTTGAGTAGAGGCCTCAATAACTCCCCATAGTTACAACTATTAACACGTTTCCTTTTTCAATTCTAACTGTCAGTGGAATCTGGAATGTAGGCTTAATTTTTTTTTTGGTTTTGGAACGTCACGTCAGAATTTACCACTGATGTGATTTTCGCATTAAGATTTGAACCCCAATATCCTTACCAACTGTGAATTTTAGCTGACGAGTCTTATTTCTAGTCATTATTGATAATCAATGTTACTGTTACTCGACTTGATAAAAAAGTTAAAATGTATCTGTTTTTAATGACTAGATTCTTGAAGATCTGGGGTTCGATCCGTGTTAGGTTAATGAATGCTTAGTGCTGACGAGTCCCATACTAGAACGAAATATATGTCCAGTGCTAAATGGTTTTCACTGAGTGTCTAGCTAATATCAGTATTCTATGGTGCAAAATACAATATTTGAAAGAAAATAATTGACTCACTACATCTGGACAAACGGCTTCAACTCAATAATTTGATGACAGTATGATATAGAGAGAACCTTAAAACAACTGCGGTCAGTTTCCAGCCAGTTTTTAGTCATTCAGAAAATAGCCTTTGGAATTAAATAGCTTATGGAAAAGAGCCGATGACTCTTGACTACTCATACGGGTTTACGCGTCATTGATCCGATCGATAATTCACTGCTCCCTAATTGGCGGTCACATGATACAACAACTAGAAGACATAATTAGGGATTTAGTATATTTAACGGTATCATTTTAAACATTTTGAGCAATTTACGAAAGTTTAATTAGTCTTATTTAGTTTATGTGCATCCCGTGCAAATTTCCTCGATATAGCCATCATTTCACAAGTTCATAAATGATAGATGGAATATAGACAAGTAGATAACTCGTAAAGTATTAATTTCAAATTTCGCAGTGAATATTAACTCTAGTACGCAAGTGCATCTATCTAGTGAACCCCAAATCGAATTAAACATGCGTCCTAGATTCCACTGTCAACTACAATCTATTTATTCCATCAATCAGTCAGTCAGTTACAATGTAGGACCAGGCACATACATGCATCGGTCCAAGTTGCTACACCTCATTAGCACAGCGAAATTTCGCCTTCGAACCTTAAGTTTGCTGCTTTTAGTTTTACCGCTCTTCAACCGACGTGTCTGACATAGTAGGACCTTGAGGAACGATTGTTACCACCACCATGGTACGTTTGCTTCATTAGGATAGGCAAGTCCGACAGAGATGCTGCCTTCCCGCAAGATAAAGTGGGATTAGAAAAAGTCGACCCTAAAAATACACACCTCGTCTTATCCCACGGATATCAGTCTCCGGTGATAAGGTCCTGACAAGTATGGAGCTAACACGGAAACTACTCACAAAAAGGTCGTGTGTGACCAATTTCAAACAGTTTTCCTTCGGGCACTGCGGTCACGCTCTCAGATCACTAAGACCACCTCTAATCCAATCCCTTTTTCAGTTGCATCTAGAAGAACCCTTCTACGGTGTGGGCAACCGGGAAGTGATAACCGGCCTCATACTTCTAACATCACTTAAGACCACTATATATTTATTTCATATAAAAATATTTCTACTGTTCATCATATTCGATTGACCAAAAGACTAAATGTTAAGTTTTCTATTCTGATTACTTTATCTTTATCTCATACCTACATATTCAATAATTTCTATTAAATAAATCTTATTTCACTAGAATAATTCAACTTCTTTGTGAATTTATCAAAATATCAATGAATATAAAGGTCCTTAAAATGGAATGATTTCTCTTTTTTTTTTAATGGATAAAATAAACATTTCATCTGTTTAATCATTCATTGGATACAAATGGGCACAAATGTATAAAATCAATGATATTACATCAATTATTCCTATTTCCATTGCTTTCTTTGTACATTAGCACCTTATGTATTTCTACATAACACACACACCCACATCCACATACATACATAGATACATATAGACAGGACTTGAACACAGAGAGAGGGAGAGACAGAAAATGCAATAAACTGGTTTGCATTGTATATATCCCTATTACAGTTTCATAAATGTCACCCCTTATATCTAACAATTTAACATTCTTATGTAATTATAAATTACTTATTAAAAAAGATTAAATCTTTTTCTTTTATGCCTCCAGTCTATTAAAATTGATTATTAAGTAGATAGTGCAATTTAGATTTTTGTACCTTTACTATGATAATCTATATGTAAATTTATATTAAAAGGAAATTGACAAGAGACATTTCTGTGTGTTTGTCTTTTCTGTTTTATTTTTGTTCTTTCTTGAAACGATAACTTCTTTGTTTATTTTTCTTCTTCTTCTTCCTCTTCGTCATCATCATCATCCATTTGCATCATCATTTTAAATTTCCTTTTTATACTATAGAAATGGATTGTTCTTTGTTTATTTATAAATAAGTTAATGAATTTTTAGATTATCTTCTATATATTCCTTTGTTTATCTGGTTTATTTTTACTGTTTACTAGTCTGTTGAAACTGGTAAATAGCCTCCAAATGTCATGATACGTCTGAGAATGGGGAGAGTCCGCTCTTTCTCTCGAAATGCTCTCACATGGCCACGCGTATACAGCCTCTTACAGGGAAGTCCTACTCACTGACTTCTAACTCCACGGGTGTTGTTTACGAAATTGAGAGGATGAAAAGAGAGCGTTCGGCGCTTTAACCTGGTTGGTGGATACGGACAGTCCACCTAGGAGGAGTTGGAAAACCCTGATTCCAAGTCAATGGTGCACATAGCCTCCATGATCCTGAAGGAACAAATAGCATGTGAACCAATCATTGGTCACCGGCTACCATGAGACTTCATCTCCTTACGATGCTAAACTGTCTTGTGTAATAGACCTTTAGATCAAAGGCTCCGGGTGTGACTCCCTAAGAAAACCACCTGCTTCGGTTTGGTCACCCGGGCAATATCCCAGCCCTCACACAAGTCAAATGGGATTTTCGTGGCGCATATTTATCTGATGCCTCCTTGTATCAATATCTATGTGTTCAAATAAAAAAATTTTAAAGAATTAAAGTCTGTTGAAACCGAGTAACAATAGTTGGTAAACAAAAACCTCATTGGATGTTTATCAAGTGGTTGTAATATTTGACCATGCACTATGAAACCTAAGGATTTGGAGTCCGATTCCTAGTGAGATCAGGGGTACCCACTGTTGAAGAGTCCTATATTAAGATGAAATAGTTGTCTGATCCTTCTTGATTTTCAATGGTACCCTAATGGACATCAGACTGTATGGAATACAACTGACAGAATAAAGCAATCTCCACAAAGCCCCTTCAACTACTGTATTGAGTTTTTATTTGTTCTTAATATAGGGTTTCTCATTAGTGAAGATTAATGCCTTCTCCTCTCTCTCAACTTTCTTAAAAACACATAGCTGGGATCATGTCCTGTTTATTAAAATGGGAAAAATCGCGCTCTAGATTTTGACGCTAGTCACAGTCCATCTGTAGATATCCACTTGCCTGTAGCTCTTATTTGTTTCTTAATATAATTGAGTTATCTATCTTAATGCCCTTAAAATAATTAACTATTCATGTAACTTATTCTTTTTAAAACCCTTCAACCTATAAGTTGTTCTTGGATGATGGATGAACAAAATAAACCAAGACCATTCAGTCTACAAGATCAAGAACGTTTAACTGAAGCAGTGATTGAACCAATGGCAGGTGAAGGTCTTCGAACCATTGGCATAGCTTATAAAAAAATTACAATAGGTAAGTACTCTCATACCTCTTTTGTGTGTGTGTGTGTGTTTTGATCTTTGGACGCGTATATTGTCTTCGAAAGAATGTCGTTATTAGAAAGTTTTACGAGAAAAAAAACTGGTCATATTTTAAGAACGTCATCATATCTGATATAGTTTGGATTTTACTAAATTGATTTGCATATTTCTATTGACAACATAATAAATTATGTAATAGAATTATTGCAATCATTTAACAGAGATCTGAAACGAAATTTAGAATCGAAAATTATTGACCTCATTGAATCACTACCTAAAATGTATAATTTAACTACTTCCTATGAGTTTCTAGTTTTGTCAGCTGATGAGTTTACTGCAATCAGTCAGTTGTAAGCAACATAGATTCTGGGATATACTGATCGGTTCAACTTGTCACATTACAAATTACTACACTAAGGCGAGATTATTACGACGAATACTGAAGTAATGAAAGTAGCGATAGTATTAGTAATAGTAAGAAAGATTGTGGTGTATGCTACTTATGTTGGCAAATATAAGTAGTATGTCACACCAATCAGAAGTGGATTGTCGGCGAGCGGAATATTGAGAAGAGATGTGAGAAAACTGAAAGCAATCAAACCAACAACAAAAATAAAGAACCTGCATGACTGTGATCAATTCTAAGACATGTCACTCCATGTCTCCATACATTGACTACGATAATTACGCGGACACCCCCAAATGCTCCCGGTATGGTGGAGGGTGAAGAGAGTTCGCTCTCCTTCTCGAAATGCTCTCACGTGGCCACACGTATACAGCCGCTGACAGGGAAGTCCTACTCATTGCCTTCTCGCTGTTGGGGTGTTGTTTACGAAATTGAAAGGACGAAAAGCGAATATCCGGAGCTTTCACCAAGTCGGTGGATATAGAGGATCTACCTACATAAGTTGGAAAACCCTCATTTCAAACTAATGATGCACATGGTCTCCAGGATCCCGAAGGAACATATGGCATATGAATGTGTTCTTGGTCACTGACTATCATGAGACTGCATCTTCTGACGTTTGCTCTACTTTCTTGTGGAACAGACCGTTAGGTGAAAGGCTCGAGCAGTGACACCGTAAAAAACCATCTGCTTCGGTTTGGGCACCCAGGTAGTATTCTAGCGCTCACACAAATCAAAAGACTTATGTAGCTCATATATATTTGGTGCCTCCTTGTACCATTGTTTATTTGCTTAAATAAGTAAATAACCAAGTAATCTTCATCTGCTTACATAGCTCTTAATTGTTTTCTTTCCTCGTTCATTGTTATATATTTTTTGTTAGTATTAACTTTTGTTTGTTTATATTTTTCATCTATATTGAATGTAGCTACAAATTCAAAAAGTCCAAATGATATGATTGTACAAAGTGAACCGAATTGGGATGATGAAGAACATTTATTAGAAGGTCTTACTTTATTAGGTATTATTGGAATTGAAGATCCAGTTCGACCAGAAGTACCAGCTGCTATACGTCAATGTCAAAAAGCTGGTATCACTGTACGTATGGTAACTGGTGATAATGTAAATACAGCACGATCAATTGCAATGAAATGTGGTATTATACAACCAGGTGAAAATTTTCTTGTTATTGAAGGTAAAGAATTTAATCGACGTATTCGTGACAAAGCAACTGGTAAAGTTAGACAAGATTTATTTGATCAAGTATGGATTAATTTAAGAGTATTGGCCAGATCTTCACCTCAGGTAAGTTTTTTTTCTTTTGTGTAAGTGTTACATAGACGTTTGTTGATTTATGGCTATGAAACACATCCCTTTCAAGTAGAAGATATTCGTAGGTTACTAGTATTCGGTCGAAGGGATATCCAAAGTATTACTCGTATATTTTGGAACCATCGATTTAGAAATTCTGAGGTTAGACGCAAATTACTAGATATGTATAGTTAATCGATTGACGAGTTGGTGAATCGTTATTAACTGGGATGATTAAGACATGTATTACATTTGCTTATCCACCTACTACCTTGACATCCAATCATGACTGTCATAGAGTTGATTCGAAAAAGAGAGCGCTTAAATCAAACCATGGCATCAGTCTATGAAGATATTAACCATTGGATTGAATCATGTAGGTAGGTGTAGATTACTTGTTCGTGGTTCTGATGATAGTTAGAACCTTTAAGCGATATTTCTCAAAATCCTTCACAATAGCTCATATGCATTCACTCTTTGTCTTCACAACTATCTGAATTCTTTATTAATGATTTCCGTTTTATTTTACTAATCCATTGATATGATGGAAAGAAAAGTCAATTTTCAATTGATTTACTCATTATAAGTTTTGTTCAACATTACTTCCCTTCTAATTCAATATGATGATCATGCAGTGTAGTATTTGATTGCTTTCCCAGTGCGATATTTTCTTCTGTATAATATGCGACATATTCTGGTATTCCATTGACATGAACTATACTCAGTAAGTGATATGTTATAACTGAGTATGTGATTTAATCTTAATTATTAATCAAAATGGGTGTACAATCACTATAAGAACTAGTGTATTTTAGACTATATTGATTCATTCGTCGTCGTCATAGTGTTTGGGACTAATAAATCTTTATTTATACCAGTCCTTGTGTTCTTATTTTCTCATCGTGGGAGTTGTCGAGGTCTCCCGTTCCGACCAGCGTTTTTTTCGTCACAGCAATCAGCGACGACCGAATATAACATCCATATTTCCTCCTTGAATTGTATCTTCAATGACTAATCATTTCTATTAACACGATTACTCTTATCAACTCTACTATTCTGAACTTCACCTTGACAACTGGTAACTTGAACTGATGTATCCATATTTCAAGTTCTACTCTTATTAAATCTACTATTCTGAGATGTCCCCTAACAGTTTCATATTATTGTATTAATGTGGTATGGCGACTTAAACTTATGTACATACGTTTCAGGTTTTACATCGCGTTCAGCTGACTGACTGACGACTGAAGTGAATGTTATCTTTTGATGTCACGTTCTATAATGGCTGATGATGTTGCTCAGGGTGTTAATAAAATATTCGTTACTATGACTAGAGAGAATCCAGTACCATTATAATTGAAATCTTACTGATAGAAATAAATTATTTTAACTGTTCAGTTATAATAATATCTTAAATATTTTTTTGATTGAGATCATGAACTGATTGATGTTAAACCACCATTGAAAACCTAGAAGGACTGGACGACCGCTTCGTCCTGTTGTGGAACTCCTCAGTGTCAGTGCGCATCCACGATCTTACTCGTGGGATTCGAACACAGGGCCTTCAATTTTGTGCGCGAACGCTTAATCTACTGGACCACTGAGCTGGCGTCCAGTGGTGTTAATGTCTAACCTCAACCAATCCACGAAATTCCGTGACCGCCTTCTATTGTACTGAGGTAGATACCTGTCTCTACCCGACACAGATTAACTCCACTAGTCACAGCTTCTTACCAGAATTCCGAGAATTCCTTCTCGAAACTAGTCACTAGTGAGCACTTGGTCATTATCAGTTTGGAGTTGTGGAATTTTTTTCAATGTTTGTTTCTTTAATAATACCTTTTTTTCACGAATGTAATATGTTGGTAGTAGCGCTAAGACTTCAATCCTGATATGTTTGTTATCGGTTGATACAACTAACACAGCTGTTTCTCTGTGTGTGTTTGTGTTTGTCTCTATATCCTAACAAGTATTCATAAGTCAGTTAATCATATTTCAGTATGACAGTTTGTTATCTATTGAATTAATTACAAAAATATGGTAATATTTCTGTCCCTTAAAGACATTACTGCATCATTGATATGTTCTGTTAACTTTGATTCTTATAGAAAAAATGTGAAAACATAAGATAAAACATGAATGACTTACTTATTTACCTTAAGTTGTATATTCTTTCACAAGAAAAACATAGATAACTATACATCTCCAATGTATGTTAGTATATATGTATGTATATGTGTGTAGTATCTTTATTATCTCTAGCTGCCTGTCAAGAGAATACAAGTTGTACATGTTGATTAAGCTAAAAATGGGTCTAAATATGGATCCTAGTAACGAAACAAAGTTTATTTAACGTTAGCAAAATAATAAACACATTAGTAACTATATCATCATCGTCATCAATATTCTTAAAGATAGACATTATATTAACATTTTATGAATTGAACAGTTGGAAAAATGTAACACAAAATGAATTCTATGCAATTTATGTGTAAATTGAGTGGATCTAATTAAACAAACTATTGTAATCTAATATGTAATGGTGTTTTTTGTTTTGTTTGGATTATCATCCGTTTATTGATACTTTGATTTAATTTTGATTAGTCCTAATTAGTGTGTGTACATCCTGTGCAGATTGTTCATATAGAACAAATGTTATTATCTGAATTCAGTAGCTAAGTAAAAGGTTCGTTAAATGTTTGAAACAGAAAATACTAGGTTCGAATCCCAGAGTGAATATCAACTCTAGGATACAGGTACATCGATTTGACATGTCTTAAATAGGATAAATCGCGCGTCTTGGATTCGAATGCTAACCACAATCCATTTATTCTATATTAAGTGATTATTCACTATTTTTAATGTGGAAATTAATGGTAATCCTTTCGCTTTCTCATTCACTCCCACATATACATATACACAACATTTATTTCAATCAATTCTCAACATAAATGAATGATTATCTAATAACTGAAATCCATCTATAATGAATACAACCAATATTTTTCGATTGAGATCATGGACTGGTTGATGTTAGATCACCGTTGAAACCTAGAGGCACTGGACAGCCCTTTCGTCCTATTGTAGGACTCCTCAACAGTGCGCATCCACAATCGTAGTTCTAGTGAGAAGCCGTGACCAGTGGAGCTAATCCGTGTCGGGTAGAGACTGGTATCTACCTCAGTACAATAGAAGATGGTCACGGAATTTCGTGGATCGATTGAGGTTAGACATTAACACCGTTGGATACCGACTCAATGGTCTAGAGGTTAAGCGTTCGCGCACAAGACTGAAGGCCCTGGGTTCAAATCCCATGAGTGGGATCGTGGGTGTACACTACTGAGGAGCTCCACAATGAGACGAAACGCCCGTCCAGTGCTTCCAGGTTTTCCATGATGATCTAACTTCAATTGACTGATGATCTCAACTATCAAAATTACTGTAATTCAATTGTTTAAGCAGAATGTAAAACGTGAAACATATTTCAGTCAATTACTGTTAATATGATCATTTCACCTCCATATTGTGTATTTATGTGTTATATATGAGGATTACCTATCCACATATATAAACACATCTATGTATTACATACTTACTTATTATCATCATCATAAGTTTACTTATCATTACGATCCTTTCTGAAAATTAGATCAAAATTCTTTTTTAAATAACATCAACTCAACGAACTAATATTTACACTGTAATACAACATTGTATTATTTACACAGTTAGATTATTATACAACGGTTGAATAGACGGATATACAATGTGTACTACTACTACTACTACTACTTACCGTTTATTATTATTATTATAACTATTACCAATACTACTACTAACCGTTGTGATTAGTGATAATCATGATAAGTAAATGTAACGGATTCATAAAAATGGATACAATGATTAACATTAGTCTAATTTTAAGACATAAGAATTTGGATTTCGAAAAGAATTTTTTTAATACATATATATATATACCCAACTCATTATTTCAATCATTCATTTGCATTCTACTGAAATCAGTAGTATCATGTATGTGTGTATATAAATGGGTTTACATTTTGTACTTATGTATTAGTGTGATTGTTGTATAAAATAAACATTTAATTGGTAACTAAAATTAACAGGGTGAATGAAAATGTACCACTGGTATTTTTTACGTTGTTCTTGTTAAGTGTATACACTTTATTTAGAATATACATTTTTAATATGAATGAATTGTATTCATTCTATTCATCATTAACATTGAATCAATATGGATACATCAGTTCAAGTTACCAGTTGTCAAGGCGAATTCTAGAATAGTAGAATTAATAAGATTATTCGTGCTAATAAAAATGATTAATTATTGAAGATACGATTCAAGAAAGAAATATGGATTAGTAAAATAAAACGAAAATCATTCATAAAGAATTCAGATAGTTGTGAAGACAAAGAGTGAATACATGTGAGCCATTGTGAATGATTTCGAAAAATATCACATGAGACTGATCAATTGCAGTCTTAAATAACAATGGGAACATACAGGTAAAACAACACCCAAGTGAATTTAAACTTCACCCCATGGCACAAGCAGGTGGCTATCAATACTCAGTAGCTAAGTGGATAATGTGATGGCGTTTGAGGTGAACGGTACTGGGTTCGAGTACCGGAGTGAACATCAGCTCTGGGATGCAGGTACATCCAGCTGACGAGTCCTGAATGGGACGGAACGCGTATCAAACTGGATTCCACTGTTAGCCACTATCCATCTTTGCTTAAAACGCTTGTGACTTAAGACTATATCGAGGCAGTCCACACATGATGCACATATGTCAACATGAGACTGATCAATTGCTGTTCTAAGTAACCATGGAAGATACGAGTAAAAGAAGACCAAATGAATTTAATATCACTTAAAGTTTCCAATCGCTTGGTTATGTTAATAATGTGAACCAGTAACAAGTAATCTACATCTACCTACATGATTCATTCCAATGAGTAATGTCTTCATTGGACTGAGAAAAAAAAGTAGACAATTAAGTTTTCATTAAGATTTCATTTCAGTGATGTACTATTTCTAGTTAACCAAAACTGTAATATAATTAACTTCTTTGATTCCCCATTTAGCAGTTGTTACTGCTACCATAATGGCAACACACCAATTATAATATCTTCCATAATATAGTTACAAGAAGAAAGAATAAAATGGCAGATCCTATTTCCAGAAGTATTTGAAATTTCAGTATCATAACTCTGCATAGTATTCACATTATGACTTAGTGATATATATGTATATAACAGAAATAATAAAATGTAAGCCAACATAACGAATCAATTAGATCATAGTATAAATCAATGGAATAATATGAATCGAAACAAATTTCTAAGGACTTCCGTCTTCGTTATAACGACAATGTATTAACAAAAGTCAAAAATGGATAATTGGACTACTGTTGAAAACCTTCAAGCATTGAATAACTGTTTCATCCTAGCATGAGACTCCTCGTCAGTGCGCGCCCGCAACTCCGCGAGTGAGAAACGAACTAAGGACTGTCGGTCTCGTGCGCGAACGCTTATCTGAGCTTGGATCCAACTGTGTTAATGTCTAACTTCAGTCAGTCCGCAACCATCTCCCATTGTCTTTGGTGGGTAGCTCCCCCACACCTGATATAGTTTAGCTCGGCTGACCATTTCCATGTCTGTTAGTGATGTGAGGTATGAATAGGACTAAATCTGTGGATATTTTTGATAAATGGTCCATTTTGGATCGACATTCATGTCTTCCTTTCTGCTAAGTTCAGTGAGGTTTATAAATATGTGAACAGATGCAACCAATTACCTTTCTTTATGATTGGAAAAAACATTTTTGAATTATTCTGATATTATTACTACTTAAGCTTACTTTTCATACATCCACTATTGATGTTTGTTCACTCGTTGAGTTAATATCGTTATATTGTTATTATGATTATCAGTAACTATTACTTCACCACCTGCCCCCTTTCACCATGATTAGTCACTCAAGATACAAACCAAACCTAGAGATTACTATATATTTTGCGTTATTCCTTTTCAATCTGTGCTTTTCTGTTTCGTTTTGAGCATTCAAATCAATTTTAAAGTTTATGAGGAGACCTTGGTTTGTAATCATAATACTATTCGTAGCGATATGATAAACCGGTTTACACTTGGTTGATAAGATGTTTTCAAATAAAGCTGATATGGAACGATTGAACGTAATTAACATGAGATCATCCTTCACCTAAGTTTTTTGCTAGTCAGCACTCATCAGCAAGGTATATCTGTAATTTCTAAGGAACTGACACCCAGTGTGAAACTTGAACTTGTGTGACTTAACTTCTCAGTCTGAAACGTTATGAATGGAGCTAGTCGAGTCATAGATCAAACCAATGATGATAGATTTATCTGGATCCTACTAATCATTCGATTGTTCATACTTTGTTTAACATTAAGTTATTTTATTCAGACGAAGTTATCTCTTATGAATACATTTGATTTTATTTCTAATAACTTGTTGTTAATAAAAGAGATTTAAATTTCACATAAATATATATTTCTTTAATAGGATAAATACACATTAGTCGGTGGGATAATTAACAGTCGTGCAACACCATCACGTCAAGTAGTCGCTGTCACTGGTGATGGTACAAATGATGGTCCAGCGTTGAAACGTGCAGATGTTGGCTTTGCAATGGGTATAGCTGGTACAGATGTAGCAAAAGAAGCATCCGATATTATATTGACAGATGATAATTTTTCAAGTATTGTTAAAGCTGTTATGTGGGGTCGTAATGTATATGATTCAATTACAAAGTTTTTACAATTTCAATTAACTGTAAATTGTGTGGCAATTATTGTTGCATTCGCTGGAGCATGCTTTTTAGATGTAAGTTAAAGTTATGACAGGAAATTAGACGTAGGACATCTTGTCTTACACATAAATTTGTAAACTACAAATCACTAATTTAGCATTTAATCCTATACGTATTTAACATCAATCAGTTCACGATATTTTCATGACCTTCTATTGTCTTCGCTGGATATCTGTCTCATATCCGACATAGTTGAATTCCACTGGTCATGAGTTCTCACCAGAACTCCAAGAATTGGATCTTGCGGTAGGGTTGTGGATGGACACTGCCAAATAGTCTCATCCTGGAAAGAAATAGCTATTCAATACCTCTTGTTTTCTACTAATATTCAATCTAAGATCAATTTGTGATTTGAATTACAAAAATTCTACAATCTTCACGAAACCTCCAACAAATTATACTAAGATTATAGTTAGACATTTAATATTAGTACTACTTATTCAGGGGAGTCCTACTCATTACCTTCTCGTGGCGGGGGTGCTGTTTACGAAACGGAGAGGACGAAAAGCGAATGTTCGGTGCTGTAACCAGGTTTTCGGACATAGAGAGTCCTCCTACGGGAGTTGGAAAACCCTAATTCCAAACCAATGGTGCACATGAGATTTGTGTGGCACATATGTGTTTGGTGCCTCCTTGTACCAATATCTATGTGTTAAAATAAAAATAAATAGGCATCTCAAAATGATCATGGTTCATAGACAAGAAATATAAACAATCTATTTTCTTCCATTTAATATCAGTCTAATTCATCGTTTATATAGCTTAAGTAAATATTGTAAAGTATAAAAATAAATCAATTATTCACTTGGTATTGTTTGGCTTGTCTCTTCCCATTGAGGTTTAAGACTGCTGACGAGTCCCAAATAGGACGAAACGCGCGTCCTGGATTCCACTGCTAGACACTATCTATCCATCATTGCTTGTAAATCAATTATGTTGTAATATTGCATAATCAAATTTTTTCTTTTAGATTCTGTCTTGTTACTTTAATGAAACATTTGATTTTCTTCTTCATATGTTGTAAACGCACTTCAAAGAATTACTACTAGGTGGTAATGTATTGACTGGATTGTGTTTTTTTTAATTGTTTTCCGGTTTTACATTTAATTCCTATTTCATTGATTGATTTAAAGTCAATTAATGGAATGACTTCAATTAAGCTGAACAGTTCTGTCATATTGTACATATGTATTGGAAATCTTATTGTTAATCCTATATTTATTTATTCATTTTAACACATAGATATTGGTACAAGGAGGCACCAAATACATATGCGCCACACAAAGTTCATTTGATATGTGTGAGGGCTGTGATACTGTCCGGGTGCCCAAACCGAAGTAGGTGGTCTTCTTAGGGGGCCACACTTAGAACCTTCGATTTGAAGGTCAGATCCACAAGGTAGTGGGGCAGCAACGTAAGGAAATTCAGTCTTATGGTAGCCGATGACTAATAATTGGTTCATACGCCATTTGTTCCCTTAAGGTACTGGAGCCCATGTGCACCATTGGTTTGGAATCCTGTTACAGCGCCGTACGTTCTCTTTTCGTCCTCTCAATTTCGTAAACAATACTGTCGCCACGAGAAGTCAGTGAGTAGGACTTCCCTGTCAGGCTATATACGCATGGCCATGTGAGAGCATTTGGCGAGGGAGAGCGAACTCTCCTCACTCTCGGCCGTACCAGGGCATTGGGGGGCGTTAATCCTATAACTAAGATAATACTGAAGAGTATATTAGTTGTTTTAAATAGAATAATTTAATCTTGTGTAGTTCTAGGATTTATTGAAGTTCTGCTATTGTACATACCATATAACTTATTCATGTAACGTGATGATAACTAATGACAGTTTCAGTCAACTTTTTTGTTTATCCAATTACAAATTGGTTTGGTTTATAGAAATATTCATCAATAATTCCAATGTTTCGTACAGGAAATTTGTCTTGACGAAATGTTTTACTTATTTACTTACGCTTGTTACTCCTAATGGAGCATAGGCCGCCGGCCAGCAATCTCCAACCCACTTTGTCCTGGGCCTTCTTTTCTAGTTCCATCCAATTCTTGTTTATTTTTCTCATGTTTGTCTCCATTTCCCGACGTAATGTATTCTTTGGTCTTCCTCTTTTCTTTTGGCCTTGAGTATTCCATGTGAGGGCTTGTCTTGTGACGCAGTTGTGTGCTTTCCTCAATGTGTGTCCTATCCACTTCCAGAGCTTATTCCTGATTTCTTCCTCCATTGTGATCTGGTTTGTTCTCTCCCACACTGGGTTGTTGCTAATAGCTTTAGTAAATTTTTAGTTATATTCATAGCAGAATAATTAACTTCGATGATGTTTGGTCTGTACTAATGTGGTATATGCTACTTATGTTTGTCGATATAAGTAGTATGTCACACCAGCCGGAAGTAAAAAAAAACCTAGAAGCAGAAGGTCAAGAAGATCGGGTTAAAGAGAATAGAAGGGAAAATAGATTATAATTGTTGACTGGAAGAACCATACAGAATGTGAAATACAAATGATGGGAATTTACAAATGATGTATTCCTACAATTAGTTCCCTTTATGAATTGAAATAAAGCCAGAACAAATATTGGTGCTTCTTATAAATTCATGGTCTCATCGCTCTTTACAAATATCCCCTTGGAAGAAACGGCAGAGATCATATGTGAATATCCTGAACTTCTGCCTTTACCAATCCATGAATTTAAACAGCTCCTGTTTTTGTGTATAAAAAAACAATTTAAACTGAAAAATGTGTTGTACCGTCAAATTGTTTGAGTAGCCCTCTAGGCCCAATTCTGGCCGACATATTTGTGGGAAACCTGGAACAGAAAAAGCTTAAGCACGTAATTGATGATACCACACTCTACTGTAGATACATTGATGACACATTTCTTGTCTGCACCAATCATAAGCACTCCATGAACCTACTCAGTCTGTTTAATAAAGCCCATATGGATATAAAATTTACTATGGAAATATGAAGTTGAAGGTAAACTCGATTTCCTAGATATTGGAATCAGACGAACATCAGTTGACTTTCTGCATCAATATTTGTTCTGGCTTTATTTAAATGAAGTATTCAATGTATGATTCTTATATTTTAATAACGGATTTTGTAATTTTGTATTTAAATACGATCGATTATCCCTACCTGTATTCTCGTTCACTACACTATTATTGAGTAAATTTACAATCAGAGAAATTCATGCTCCAGAACGATCGATAAAATTATTGTCTGTACAACAGTTCGAATTTATTAGGTTACGCTAGATGATCAGATTCAAGCTGAATGGGACTTTGGTAATGGGACATTTTCTTTTCTGACAAATTAATTTGTGAAGATAGATTCTGATAAAGAAGATTTATATTTTAGATGGATGACTGACTTTGAGTTTTCTGAGCCTGAATAATTTAATTTTGAAGTTTTTTTATCGTCCTTCTAGATGGATATCATTATCAACACAATAATTTCGTCATTGTCTGTTCACTTATTTTGATTATCATCTAATTTAACCCGATTCCATGACCACAAAGCTGTTTGATATTTTCCTACTTGGTGGATACATCGAACCTATTTCATCAATATTTTTAACAGACTACTGGGTGATCTTAATCTTAAGCCTTTTGAAAACATTCAATCTTTTTTGTTTTGTCTCCATCCAAGATTTCAACGTTTACTCAGACGGTTTTGCGCTGGCTACTGTCTAATTGCATTAAAATAGAAGAGAATATCTAATGACGTTCAGAAATCCCTGGTGAGATTATAATTTATGAACGACCTTTGAGCGACGCCAAAGTGACCTTGAAAATGTCCACCTATTAACTAAGATTAAATGTGAGCTATAAACCAATATGAGGGGTTAGAATTATGATTTACAGTTGATGGTTAGGGTTGGAAATTAGATTTAGGGTTTTCACTACGAACTGATATCAGCTATAATGCCAAAACGCCACTTAGATGAATGGATGAATGAATTTCGCCCCAAAATCCAAGACCCGTTATCTTAAATCTGGTTGGTCTCGCCACACTTCTTTCCCCAATTGTTCTGTTGTTTTGTCTAATTCTGTTTTTTCAATCCATTATACTGATCCGTTTATTGTATACTTTTTGTCCTTATTCCCCACTCCATTTGCCCTCCCACTTCCAAAAACTACTTGTAATCATTTTTTAGGATAGTCCATTGAAAGCTATACAGATGTTATGGGTCAATTTAATTATGGATACATTGGCTAGTTTAGCATTGGCTACAGAACAACCATCAGTGGAATTATTAGATCGTGCACCATATGGACGTACTCAACCATTGATTAGTAGACAAATGGCTAAAAATATCTTAGGTCATTCTATATATCAATTGGGTGTTATATTTTTCTTATTATTTTATGGTAAGTTAATTTGATTGGTTGAAAATAAATACATATTATGTCCTTGAATCATGTGATATTATTGGTCGATAAAACTTGAGTCTGGTCTATTGTTAATATACCGACGTGATCAGCTGATTTTTTTTGTTGTCAATCCACGTTGACACTCCTAACTAGGCTAAGAAACAATATTAAACGAGTTTGGACACATGTTTTTATATATTCCGATGGAAATTCTTAAAATCACTTTAGTATTTGTAAGTTTATATCTTGTTGATATCAAAGACCTTCAGCATATGTACTTCCTGAGCTAATTACCTTCAATTGTTCATATTTTCTTTTTAATAACTATTCACAGTAGTGCCTAGGTACATGTCTAACAATTAGACGCTTTATAACTGAGACTTATATATCATCATCATATTGTCATTGCATATAGTCAAGTGTGTTAAGTGATGAACCTGGAAGCACTAGATGACCGTTTTTTCCTAATATAGAACTACTCATTATTACAATTGATTGATCACTGGGTGGTGATCAATGTCTTGCTTGTCTAGTCCTTATTAGTGCAGATCGAATGCTATCGATCATGTTGCAATGTGGCCACCAGTCTAGGTGACTCGACACTGCGGGCACTATGTATTGAGATTTAGATGGTGGTTGGAGGTAGTCAACAGGGTTTCCTGTTGACTACCTCCAACCACCATCTACTACTCATTATTGCACATCTATGACCTCACAGGTGAGAGTCGAACTCGACACCTTTGATCTCGTGTGCGAACGCTTAATGAAACGGCCATTGAGCGCTTTCATGTTCTCATTGGTGATTTAACTTAGATCAGTTCATGATTTCAATGAAATTGAAATTCAACAGCCTTCTCACTTTTAACAAGTTTTTCTAATATCGAATTATAAAAAAATTATTTGAAGGATAACAGTTGTATCCTCTTTTGTTAAAGCTATGACCAAATTAAAGCATATCATTAGTTCATGAAGTCATTAGTTTGAGACATATTGGCTGTTGTAAATTAACTTGCTTGCGGTCCTCGCAACTATCATAAACAATTTTCAGGGTTGTTAGGTGACACTGCTGAAAATCGATCATAATCACACAAACGTCTTCCCCTAAATATTAAACTTTAAAATTATCTTGTACTTCTTATTCTGTTGACTCATTACGTCTTCTCGAATCTTATTATTTACGTGAAATATCTCCTACTTCTACTGCTAACTACTACCTACCTACCTACCTACCTACCTAACAATAGTAATAATAGTAATAATCTGGCATTTATCTTGATATGGTGATTTGTAGTATGATAAACTTGAACCGATACACATATACACCAGACTATACGTTACTTTTTTTAACTGACCAATTCTTTTTCAATAAGTAAAGTTATATCTTATTCTAATCATTTCCCCATCCAATTTTTGTTATTCTCTCTCTCTCTCTATCCCTTTTCCTTTAGTTCAATTAATAATGGAAGTCGATAATGTATCGGGGATAACAGTACATGAACCAACACAACATTATACTATAATATTTAATGCTTTAGTATTAATGACATTATTTAATGAATTTAATGCAAGAAAAATTCATGGACAACGTAATGTATTTAGTGGTTTACATAGAAATCCATTATTTATTATAATTTGGTTTGTAACATTTTTATTACAAGCATTAATTATACAATTTGGTTCATATGCATTCAGTACAAAAGCATTAGAATTAGATCAATGGGCTTGGTGTTTATTCTTTGGTGTTGGTGAACTTGTCTGGGGTCAGGTATGTGTTTAGTTTAATCAACACTACTAATAAAGTTCATTTTTATTATTATTATGAATGGTGGTAATGTAATTACTTTTTTGTCAGTTCGCTGTTACTTGTTGTCTGCTGAAAATCTCTTCCTCAGTCAGTCAGTCAGTAACAATGTAGAACTTCGTGCGTACGTATATCAGTTCGAGTTGTCATACCACGTTAGCACAGAGATGCAGTTGTCGATTCAAATCCCATAATGGTAGAGGTAGAAAGAGTATAAGCAGTAACCGGAAAGATCAGGGTTTGAAGATGTTATTCAAGGAGTATAATCCAGTGAAATAAACTTGGACAGAGAAAAAAAGAAACAAGAATAATTCAGAATATTAGAATTTGGGAGAACACAAAAAGTGGATGCATCTGCGCCGTCGCAAATGATTTTGAGCCATGTCATTCAAGGTTTCTAACCATCGGTTGCTATCATCTCGCGGATCCCAACCAGTTAGTCTACACCTACTAACATGGCTTAGTTCATGTTTATTCGCTAGTTGACACTCACCAGCATGAAGAAGTGAAGAACTAATCCTTCATCCTGTGATCCTAACTAGAATCAGTGTCACTTAGCTTAAGGGCTTGAGGTACTATCATTCAACTATCTGTTCCCTCGATTGATCTGCTGCAGGACTGAAATAGTCACGTAATAGTGATCAATGACATGTTTATCTAGTCCTTAATGGTTGATCTAATATCCTATGGATCAAGTTCTTGTTGGCAACAAGGTTGTGTTGTGAACTATATCATTCAACTATAAACAGGGTAAATTTTTTCAAAACTAGAATAATTCAATGCACATTCGAGTGTAACCATTGAAAACTTGAAGGAATAAATATGAAATATATCTAAGAAATTACTCTAAGTTCATAACGTAAGAATAGAAGAGCCTAATGTTTTAGAAATTGTGAGGATGGAATGGTTTTTTCTCCCTTAGTTTTATGACAAATCAAAATTAAACAGATCAACTATCCCTTTGCAAACAATTCTTCCAATCCCTGGAACCCTCAAATATAATCTTTTTGATGTTATAGTCCGGTTTTATTAAAAGCTATTATTAATCGTAATTCTCACACACACATACAGAGACACAGAGGAAGAATCTTCGTCATTACTACAAAACTACACTCAACTGTAATATCTAATAGTTAGTGAAAATGAGTGATTATGTGTACACAATCATCATGTTGTAATAGCAGCCTTATTATTACTTACTAACACAGTATTTTGATGCTTAAAGCTCTTCCTATAAGACATGTTGGAGAGATCCAGAAAATCCCTCGAAAAAAGCCCAAGAGAGCCTTGAAAATGCTAGAGAACATTTTATTCGATTAGCACTCAATAGAAGTTTCTTGGACACATCTAGAAAGTGAAGAATTACGTGTCACATTTCTAATTGGATGATTACCTATACTGCTACTATGTTTAGTAGGGTCCCAGAACTTTTCAGAAACCTAATGCCATCTGAAATGTTATAAATACCCTAAATTTTCTGCACATAAACGGAACCTTGGGAGTAAAGCGTTCTTTTCATATTTAGCACCTTTTCTCTCGTGTTCAAGTTGTCGTGTAGATTTAGCCTGGAGTTATTAGAATAGCTTAGGAAACCGATTCAAGCGTTCTGTCAGAAGGTTTATCAACCTACTAATTCCTAAAAAGAAAAGGGGGTGCATGTACTGTTGAATTTTTAAAACATTCACTCTTTCACCAAGGACATAGTAGCCAGAGCACTCAACTTTAAACCACTATAATGTAGGCTCGAATCTTATTCTTACATATTCCAATCTTCTTTTACATCAAAACACGAATCGAAATTCATTACACGAACCTAAGAACATAGAACTTTGAATTTGTGGTTTGCATAACTTATTTTGCCCAATTTGTGGGTTTTTTTGACTATTGCTTACATTTTGTCGTATACACATACATAATTATATAATCCAATGGGGGATATTATGGATTAATCATGCGTTATAATAGTATCAATCAAACTTTGCTTGACACTCATATTCATGTATTTATTCAGAATTTATTAAGATGAGCAACTGCAGCATATACAGAAAACTACTATAGTTTCAATCGCGTGACTGTCGTAACCGATGGTTGGAGACTCTTGGTGACATGGCTCAGAATCGATCACAATGGCGTTGGTGCATACACTCCCTGTCTTCCCTTAAACTAAGAGATTAAAATCGCTTCATATATTTCTTTCTACGAACTAATTCTATATTCCGGTACTGTATCCTTATATGCAATCTTTCTCCTATATATTACCACCCTTAACCTAACCACTCCCATGAATCCGGTGTTCATCTTGCTGTGCTAACGAGGTATGGCAACCTGAACCGATGCATAGATGTGCCTGGTCCTACGTTGTAGCTGACTGACTGACTTCAATCGAAATTCAACATCAAAAATGATTACATAAAATCGATTATTATCAATAGTGGGAACCTTAATGAAATCCAATAATTGTCTAGTATTCTCCATTTACATCTTGATTCACTTCAAGGCCAGTTATTGATTAATAATGGCAGTGCTGTAATGATAAGACCATGGTTTTGTAATTGTTTTTGTCTTAGTTGATTGTTGTATTGACATCTATATAATTATGTTTCCTATAACTATTCAAAATATTGAATAAATCAATTTTTCCGCCTTATCCCCTATCTGTTATCTACCATTTACATAATATCATAGGTTGTTAATACAGTACCGAATGCAATTATACCAAAATGTAAATGTCGTAAACGTAAACGTCCCACAGTTGTCGGTGTTAACGAAAATGCAGCTGATGAATATATTAAGGATGCAATTGAAGTCGGTGAAGCTGATGAAGAAGAAGATGAAATTTCTCCATTATCACTAGGTGGTGCTAATATGGGAATTGGTGGACGTATTTTATGGATTCGTGGTGTAAATCGTATTCAAACACAGGTAAGTCCGTGTGTGAGTGATGATGGTGTGTTGAGGAATTCATGAGTTTTTTTAATTTAGATCTCTATATTTGTTATAGTTTTCAGTAAGAAAGAATCCCGCTTTGATAGAAGTAATAACACTATTGACTATTAGATCAAAATCTAAAGTTTCCCATCTTTTATACTTCACATACTTTAGCTAAGAGCAATTGGATGATGTCACTCATTCTCTACTTCTAGAGAGATGTAATACAATGTGTGTTAAGCACAGAAATATTTAATTGGTAACTAAGTTATTACCATTATTATTAACTGTTACATTTGATTTAACGGATTATGTAATCGTAATAGTTTGTGTATTCCAAATTGATAATGATTCATGAATGATCGAGTTAATAACTGAGCTTAGTCTGAGACTACTTTTTATAAATTTACGAATTCAATAGTCTTAAAGATACCTATGCTATTATTGTTTTTCTTTATATAATGAAGTAGTGTTAGTACCTTTGATGTATCATTGTGAAGAGATATCAAACTTAACAAACGGATACACTGTATGTTTCTCATAAACAATAGCATAGATTATTTATTATCATTAACTTTATTCAATATCATATATTTTTGGTACAATATAGATTTCTCAGTAACAAGTTTCCGTTTCTTACTTCTTGATCGATCCTGATGACAACATATTGAATGATCGTTAGTTGGATGTTAGCAGTTCAGAAGTCAACATCCGAATAATATTCATTGTTTTCAATGAATATTGCCAACAACCACAATGTCTCTGATTGGATCTTTTGTAACTTGTACACATTTCACAAACTCACTTGAATAGGTTATGCAATTAATTGACATCATAATGTATTAAAACAAAAATAGATAGCTTGTTGAAACATCTAGATGGCAGGAACAGGTAGTTCAGATATTCAAATAGGCCTGGGAGGTCTGGGAGGAGTAAAGAAACTTATGTAGTGATATTTACTTATATTATATTTAGGTTTCTTTCAATTTATATGTAGCGAGTCATTCACTACTACTAGTAGTAATCAAATACATAGATAAATGCACTCAACTGTGAGTTATACTTCGAGTGTTGAAGACTAATGATACCATCCCATTGCTTAGACTGAACTCAGTCAAATAGTTAATTATTGTCAATATACAACTTACTGTTCAAAAATGTTGATTTCACATAATTTTCTAATCACATTGTTTTGTTTTCGATTGAGATCATGAATCGATTGATGTTAGACTGCCATTGAAAACCTGAAAGCACTGAACGACCATTTCATCCAAGTATAGAACTCCTCGCGGGATTCGAACCCAGGACCTTCGGTTTCGCGCACGAACATTTAACCTCTAGACCACTGAGCCGGTATCCAACGGTGTTAATCTCTAACCTCATTCAATTCACGAAATTGCGTGATCATCTTCCATTATATTGAAGTAGATACCTGTCTCCACTGATTACGGCTTCTCACTAGAACTCCGAGAATTCCCTCACGAAGCTAGTCACTAGTGAGCACATGGTAATTACTAGTATAGGGGTTGTGAAAATTATTAAGATTTGATTGAGTTGATGTACAGATTGATGTTAGACCACCATTGAAAACCTGGAAGCATTGGACGGTCGTTTTTTTCAAAGTTTTCTCACTGAATTTAAAGTCGAATATGTAATATATTACAATTAAAAAATGCCTCCTTAATGATACTATTTATTATGTAATAGTCTATTATCATATAATAAGTTTTAACAAAATTTCTAATATCCGCGTATTTGCAGTTGATTCATGTTTGGCTCTAATGATAACCTTTTAATCGTGGATGAAAATGAAAATCATGATATCTGTGGTATTAGTAATAAATTTAGGCAGATTCATGTAGTTAATAGAATGTACATATTTGTGCTTAGTAAAATGTTGATTATTATGCCTATGCATTACATCGTGGAACTTTTTCGTGCAGTAACAATATACAGTAGTAATATTAGTATTAATAGCAGAAGGGGTTTTTGTGAACAATATAGTAATTTCAATAGTTGAGATCATGAGTCAATTAAACCTAGAAGCACTGGACAGTCATTTTGTCCTATTGTGGGACTTCTCAACAGTACACATCCACGATCCCGAACACAGGACCGTCTAATGCTTCCAGGTTTTCCATGGTGATCTCTAGCTTCAATTGACTCATGATCTCAACTATTGAAATTAGTACTAATAGTTAATTATTCCATATACCCACAAACGTTCATGCAAATTAGCATGTATATTATGTCGCCTTTTTGTCTTGATGTATTTTTCTTAGAAATATTCATTAAACTGTATAGTTTGATTATCATCGGTTTAGAATTGAATTTCAATCAACTGGTAACAGATTCAAATATCTCATCTCTTTATCTACTTCAATTCGATCAACTAGTACTTATATTAGTAATTTTTATAGTTGAATTGTGGCTTAAAGATTAGTATTTTGGTTGAATGGATCCTGTTGGATCTGTATAATCTGCTACTATATTGATTTTTCTTGAAAAAAAAATCATTGAGAAAGATTTTGAATCTTACATATTAACCTTATAAAGAAAGCGGACAAATAGGTTTTCATGGCGAGATTATAATTTATTGGACGAACCAATTAGATCTAGGATAACAGGTCTTAGATTTTGGGGTGAAATTCATTCATTCAGCTAAATAGCGTTTTGGCATTATAGCTGATATCAGTTCATGGTGAAAACCCTAAATCTAATTTCCAACCCTAACCATCAACTGTAAATCATAATTCTAACCCCTCATATTGGTTTATAACTTTCATTTGGTCCTAGTTAGTAGGTGGACATTTTCAAGGTCACTTTGGAGTCGCTCAAATGTCATCCACAAAATTATGATCCCACCGTTTCCACAGTGAAATTTCTATTAAATATCAAGATGCGAATACTGATCCGTTGGCTTTGAATAGTTTTATTTTAAGTGTTGTACAAATCAACAATTATATAAGTTTCTTTGTATTTCTAGTGAAATATTTGTGATTTGCATCAGTCGTTTACTCGTTTATATTTGTGAGAGTGTACGCTTTTTTCGTTGTTGATACAATGATATTTATCTGATTGATTCTCTCTTGATTTATATGTATCCTAAGTAGTTTGCCTCAATCGCGCTTTTATTTACGAGTTGAAATAAAATTGGACTTTGTCTATCAATGAAGTCCAGAAATTACGTTTGGTTCTATTTGAAATTTGTTATCCAAATGTACCTGCATCCTAATGTTCTTGTTCATACTAGAACCTAAAACCATTGCCTTTTTCTTCTAAACGTTCATACGTCTTTCACTAATCTTTTGAGTTCGAACATTGATTATCTTAGTCAACACATATGAAATTACCAGTATAGAGTTGTTTAGATTGTTGAGTTTTAATTGAGATCATAAATCGATTAATGTTAAACTACCATTCAAAACTTGGATGTATTGGATGGTCGTTTCATCCTAGTATGAAATTATTATATACAAAGATATCAGTTTCTCTGTTGTTAATATGGAAAACTCCATTTAATCAGTCTCATTTATTGGCTAAAATGTCAGTAGTCAAATTTCAAGATCATGTTTCAGATCAAGTAACTCTGACAATTACATTGTTATCAGTATAGGGTTGTGGAGATTGTTAATTTTTTATTGAGAGCATGAACTGATTGAGGGAATTCTCGGAGTTCTAGTAAGGAGCCGTGATCAGCGAAGGTAGTCCGTGTTGGGTAGAGACAGCTATCTACCTCAGACAATAGAGGATGGTCGCGGAATTTCGTGGGGTGGTTGATGTTAGACATTAACACCGTTGGATACCGAGTTAGTGGTCTAGAGTTTAAACGTTCGCTCGAGAGATCGATTTCCTGGGTTGGATCATGGTTGCGCACTGTTGAGGAGTCCCACAATAGGATGAAATGATCGTCAAATACTTCCAGGTTTTCAATGGTGGTCTAGCATCAGTTAGTTCATGATATCAACAACAAAAAATTACATTGCTATTACTAGATGAAATTAGTTAATATTATTAATATTATTACTATTATTATTATTATTATAATTCGCATATTTGCAATTTCTTAGATACTTATTTACATAGTTATGTTTGTTCGTCGTTATATTTACATTTCATTGTATATTTATTTATATGCTTCTATATGTTTTACTCTGTTTCCGCCAATCCCCTCCCTCTGTCACCTCATACAACTAACCAACAATTATCTAATCAACCTACAAATAAATAAATATCCCTCACATTTCTTCATTTACATTTTTTATTTATCATTTTTCTAGATGCAAGCTGTAAGTGGCCTTTCACGAAAGTAACTAACTAAACTCCTTAATGGGGTTGTTTGTTTGTTTGTTTGTTTTATTATTATTTTTTTATACATAAAGGAAAACGATTGCTTCAGTGTTGTTCCTATCCCTGTTGTTGTTGTCGTTGTTGTTGTTGTTGTTGTTGTTATATGTGATATTACGTTTTCTAACTTTTGTTTAGTTTTAATTTTTATTATCGCTGTGGTTGATATGTTTGACTTATGCATACTACCCTTATACCTATTTATCTTATATTCGACTACTTGTGTGCACATTTGTTCCTTTTTTTATTGTTATTTGTTTTACTTCAATCTCTTTATTATTTATTAGATTGTCAAATCATTAGTCAACTATGATATCTTCAATGAATTTAGTTGCCATGGCAACATCTAATCATACTCATACTTCTTTGCTTCTATTTAAAGAGATCTTTTTCTCTTTCTTTTTTGTTGTTTTCTTTACTTTCTTCTATCATTTATTTATTTTATCTATAAAAAAAAGATGCAAAACAAACTGTTTTTAAGCAATAAACAAAACATTTATATATATACTTATACATATTTAGGGAAACAAGGTGTGTAATTTGACTAAATTGTTTATTTGTGTTTTAAATACCATTGAATTACATAATAGCTATCTATGTCATTTGTTCCATTGTATTTTTATAATTAGAATAATGAACATTAAAACTATTTGAATAGGGTTGTTTGTTTTTGGGGGTTTTTTTGTTTTGTTTTTTGTATTTTTACGGAAGAAAATCGATAGGTTAGTTTTGTTGATAAGGCATATTTCCATTGAAGGGATCATGTTCATTATGACAGCATAAAAAGGAGGTATAAATAATTAATGAAATGAGCTCATATATTTTGATTGATTATGTAATAAAATCGATTAGTTAGTTCATTTCTCATTTTATCCACGTGAATGTATATTCAATTATATTGATTTTAATCGGATCATTTTTTTTGTTTTTTAATTAAACATAAGGATCATGGTATATACATTTTATTGATGGAACTTGAAACAGGTACCCTAACCTGAATGAGATTTTATGGATGAAAATGTGTAAAAATAATGAAGTATCTCCACAAAACACAAACTCTTTAATATCGAAATGAATGATAAATTAATCAGTGGAGTTCAACCAGGTTTGTTGTCAGGTATCAGCTCACTGAAGACAATGGTATACGGTAGCGCAACTTCGTGAATTGGTTGAAGTTAAACATTAACACCATGGGATGTTAGCCCATTGGTCTAGTTGGTTAAGCGCTTGGGGCGAGACTGATAGGTCCTGGGTTGGAATCTCGCGGAGAGAATATCAGCTACATTGAAACTGCTGATACACTTTAATATTGACAAGTTCTCAAGTTTATGAAACCTTGATGATCTATATATTCACGGAAGCGGCATATAAAGTCAACCAACTTGTTCCACTGGTTATCTTAGATTGAAATTGATTGTCTTAGGATAAGGCGGGTTGGTAATGTCATGTCTTACGTTTTAACTACCGTGACAGTTTTTTGTTTATTTCATTCTACATCTGTTAGCCATCATTATGGATCTATATAGATGGAATAGTTTTTTCAACCTTATTTGAAATTTATAGAAAAATATTTTTCTTTCAAATTTACCCCAAGTTGATCGGTTTATTTTTTTTATTATTGAATATTAAAACAATTAATGTTATATGTTTGAGAATATCTTCATGATATTTCTAGATAACTTCATCGATTGTTACAGTTTTAGGGTCATTATTTATACTATCAAGGAAGAAGTTATCTTTATGTTTAGCTTGGTTACTACTCAATAAATTTAGTTTATATATAAGATGTTATGTATAATAGTAATTTGAAGTTTCAAGTTATTAAACTGAATGTTATATAGTTAGTGGTCTTGAATGCTGTTAAGAGGTGTGAGGGCGGTTATCAATTCCCGGTCGCCCACACCGTAGAAGAGTTCTTCTAGAGGTACCTGAAAAGGAAATTGGATTAGAGGTGGTCTTAGTGACCTGAGAGCGTGACCGCAGTGCCCGAAGGAAAACTGTTTGAAATCTGGTCACACACGACCTTTTCGTGTTAGCTCCATTTTATGTACTTGTATTTGAGTGTTATATCCTGGTGAGAATAATGAATGGTAACTTTTAAGATCCATTTATGGATCAATACTATACGTACATTTTTATCATATAATTGTTAAATAACTAAACTATTCATATTCATGTCCCTCTTATTATGAGCCTTATTTTCACATATGAACTGTTATTATACGATTTATCATTCTTGAGTTATACTCTATCAATTACTACCTCCCACATTCACAGCCACATTTGCCTAAATCTTGTACAAATGTTGTTTCCTATTTTATGGTACGATGTGGTATGTTTGATTTGTATGTAAACTTAGTATGTTTGAAATAAATGATTCATATCACAGAGGCTGACATTAGTGTCCTGGACTTAACAGGCGGAGCTAGGCGAGAAGCAGGACCGATAGGGACTCTAGGCTGCTCGTATGTGTCTTATGCATTATTGGTCCAATCGATAATTCACTGGCCTCTAATTGGCGGTATCATTACATTATATATTAACAGGGCACACAGATCACAAGTTATAACAATGGGTATATATGACCCATCAGGGATCTTAACAACTGTGTGTTTGAGTCATAGGATTGAACTATACTATTCAAGTCCTCCTGAATACCAATATAACTTCACCCTCTTTCGGGGTATATTTATAATTGTGATTTGTGTATGAGTATGTGAGCGCGTGTTTCCAACAATCTATCATTTACTCCTATTCTTTTTTGAATGCTGCATACATTTGAAATCTTCAATCAATGTATAATGATTATGTAATCATTGTTTCATTGTCACACATTCACAATCAATTCTCAATAGAACAACATTATTGTCAACATTTTTGTCACAATATCAAAATGATATTGTGACATTCAGAGATGGTGTCTTTTTTTTTCTTTCTTCTTTTTCTTATAGTAAATCAAGACTAGGAAATATGACACTATTGAAGTTGTTGTCATTTCACTTATCAGATTGTTATATATTTATCATCTTTTTTCTTTTACATATAGTTTTTCAATGAAATTCTAAGTTTTCTTCCTTTCAAATATCACTATTGTTTTTGTCATGTGTTACATATATGAGAGATGTGTATCTGTCTATGTTAAACTATCTATTCAACTATATGTGTATACATATCTCTTTTGTCACTGGTTGAAATCATGAATCAATTGAAGTTAGACTACCATGGAAAACCTGGAATCACTGGACGGCCATTTCGTTCTAGTATGGGACCCGTCAGCACTGAGCATCCACGATCCCGCCTCTCGAGACACTCGAACCCAGGATCTATCAGTCTTGCACGCGAGCGCTTAACCATTAGACCACTGAGCCTGCATCCAACGGTGTTAATGTCTAACTTTAATCAGTCCATGACGTTGCGCCACCATACACCATTGTCTTCAGTGAGTTGATATCTCACAACAGATCTGGTTGAACTCCACTGGTGACGGCTTCTCACTAGAACTGCAGGTGTATCTCTTGAAGCCAGTCACTACTGATCTGAGGAGTCTCACAATAGGATGAAACGGCCGTCCATTGCTTCCACGTTTCCCATGGTGGTCTAGCTTCAATTGACTCATGATCTCAACTGTTGAAATCGTTATTATGGTCTAGTAAGTACTACTTATATTCATGTATCTTATCAATAGTGCATTTATACATACATATATGTATACATTGAATATTAAGTGTATTGTGAGTATTTCTAGATGAAGTTTATTGGAATTTAATAAAATTTCAATTTGTTTTTCTCAAAAATGAAAAGTACTAGATGGGTGAAGATATTTCTATTTGTTAGGCATCTAAATAATTATGGTAATACATAATATTATGCTCTATTATCTTATAGATTAGATCTTTAGATCCAATGTATGGCTCATTAAGCAAACCATCTGCTTCGATTTGAGCACCCAGGCAGTAGAACAACCTTTATATAAATCCAATGATCAAGTGTAGCATACATATATTTAATGACTCTTTGTATTGTTGTTTATATTGTTTAAATAAACAAACTAAAGTAATACATGTAACTGCTAATCATAATAATCATAACCTAGAAAATTAATGTCACTCTTATTGATAATAACATCTAAACACTTACTAAATTGTTTATTTTATATACACTTATATACACTACTTATTATTTACTAGATATTATACTCACTTCATTTATTTTGATGAATATAAATATTTTGTTGTTTTTGCTGTGTGTTGCACCTTACGAAAAACAAATACATAGTGAGTAATAGATGAGAAAGCACTTTGTGTGTATTTGTGTGTTAATTGAAGTGATACATACATTTTAGGTAATACACATGTACACATATATATATAACCTTTGGATATTCCTCCTTATTTATGGAGTATCATATTTGTTATCTCTGAAATCTGATTATACTATTAGTGCTAAGATGGCTATTTATAATATCAACATTGTTTATATCAATAGTTGAGATGATGAGTCAATCGAAGCTAGACCATTATGGGAAAGCTGGAAGCACCGGATAGCTGTTTCGTCCTATTATGGGACTCGTCAGCAGTGTGCATCCACGACTCCGCTTCGTGGGATTTTAACCCAGGACCTATCGGTCTCGCACGAAAACGCTTAAACACTAGACCGCTGAGGCAGTCGGAATCCTACTGTGTCAATGTATAACTTCAATTAATCCACGAAATTGAGCGACACACATCCACCATTGTCTTCAGTGAGTTACTACCTCACAACTGATCCGGCTGAATTTCACTGGACACTGCTTCTCACTAGAACTTCAGGTTATAAATCTTGAAGCCATTCACTAATGAGCATATGTTCATTAGTATCAGAAGGGTGTTTTTGTGGACATCATGAGTCAGTTAAAGCTAGACCATCATGGAGTTTATTGTAAAAAGTTGTTTTCATATGAATC